AATTGTTCCTGTAAAAGAACCAACATATCCTGAAGTTAACAGAGACTTAAGTTCTGTTGCAGATATTCGAAACGACTACCAACAACTGAAAGACAAACTTCAAACTCAGGAGAAGATTTGTCAAGCTTTAAGTATAATGTTAAACTTGGTCGAACACAACCCTGTAAAAGTGAACTCATATGTCATTGCACCTCATGAAGTTTTGAAAGAACTATTGAAACTTTTGACAGAGGCAGACGATATAAACATCAAAGAAATAGAACCCGACATTAGTTGCTGTGGTGTTTCATATAATGTCATTGACAAGATATACGTTATGAAAGGAGGTGAAACGTTGAACTTAAAATATAGTTTCCCAGACGTTATAAAAATATTTGACGACCACAACATTTCATTAAAATTTATTTGCTAAGTAAATGGCAGAAGACATAATGGTTTATACTATTACGACTAAAAACCCTGAGTCATATAATTCTATAACAACAAACTTACAAAGTCCTCAAGGACGATATTGTAAACTAACCTTAAACACAATGACGACTAAAGCCTGTTTTGCTCTTTTGACACCAGAAGACTTTATTGTTGTGAATGGTAAAAAATACTCCTTTGAAGATACTTACTCAGATATACCACCAACAGGTTTTGTTGACTTATTTAATACTTTAAGTACGGGTGTAACATGTGCTGCAACTAGAGCAGGTTTCATTATGTTTGGATGTCCGACTGAGTTTACTATAAACGATATGAGCTATAATACAAAACTTATTTCTGGTTTTTACTACCAACAGTTTCCTATAACAGGAAAAGGTGTCATACAAGGAATGTCTATTCCATTGACATTAAGCACACCAATCTTATATATTGTTTCAAACTTAGGTTCAAAGTGTTATTCGAATGTCGACAGAAACTATTATGACCAAAAGATACTTATGCGTATAAACAATACTTTCTCTGCTGGTTTGCCTATTGTTCATTCGAATGCAGAATTTTCAACCTTAGTGAACTCAAACACTTTGGCAAGTATAACGTTGACATTAGTTGACGCAAACTTTGTTCCTGTAAAACTTTTATGTCCTATGTATTTGTCAATGACGGCAGAAAGTTTCGAATTGGAAGATGCAACTGGTGAAAGTATTGTATTACAAGAACAACTTCAACAACAAATAGCTCAAGAACAACAAATGCAACAAATGGAACAACAAAGTCAAGAATAAAAAAATAATATTTTTTTTATTTTTATAAAAATGTACAGAATAGATGTTTCAGATTTTTATGACTTCCAAGCATTCAGAAATATGTGTCCATTTAGAGACTATAACAAAGCAGTCGAGAATTTGAAACGTTTAGTCATTTATGTTGACTCTGCCCCAGAATGTTATGTCATGAAAGAATGGGATGTTGTCTTTAACAAACCAAGAGCAACAATAGTGTCTGAACAAGAATGTAGACAGAAACTTAAGAAAATAAAAGTTGTACAAGTTGGAATGAAGATGTTAGATGCTTGGGATATCTTATTGTCAAAGTTAGAAGATTTTTCAGTTCGAGGTATAAAGTTTATACACCTTCTCCAAACTTCTATTCTATCTTCACTGGATATAAATACGAACAAGTAGAATGGAAAGAAGTATTATAGAAGCTTGGTTAGACCATGTCAAAGAAATTATATGCAATGGAAACGAAAGAGTCTATGAGTATATCTTATGTTGGTTTGCAAATATCTTACAACATCCAAGTGCTAAAAATGAAACTGCTCTCATTATAATTGGAAAACAAGGAACAGGTAAGAACACATTCTTTACAGATATCTTATGCAAACTGTTAGAAGGTTATTCGAATCCGAATATGACAAACTTAGAAAACATCTGTGGCAAGTTTAACTCCTCAATAGAGAATATGAAACTTATAGTTTGCAATGAACTTCAAAGTATAGATACAACAAAAGTTTTGAACTCAGATGCTTTGAAGAGTCTTATAACAGACAAAGTTGGAGTTGTTGAAAGAAAGTATAAAGACCAAAGAGTTTGTGAAAATGTTGCAAACTTCATTATGGTTTCAAACAATGCTGTTCCGATGAAGTTAGAAAGTTCTGACAGAAGATATGTAGTTGTCAGAACGTCAGATTCTCATATGCAAGATACAGAATATTTTGACGACTTAGCAGAAACTTTGACATCTGACTTTTACAACCACTTGTTCTCATATTTCATGACATTAGATATTTCTAAGTTCAATCCAAGACAAATTCCACATACCGAAGAGAGACAAACATTGTTAGAAGCAAACAAGAGTGTATATGAACTGTTCATAGAAGAAAGCGACTTTGTGTTTAGATGAAAAGTCTTTATATGATGAATATAAACAATATTGTCAAGAATATGGTTATATGGCAGCTTCTAAACGTACATTCTTGGCAAATGTCAAAAGTCTTTTAGACGTACAGAATGGTGTATATACAAAGAAAAATTTTTCTGAGTAAATTTTAAAAAAAATATTTTTTATCCGATAGAAAAGATGACGAAATTCATCTCAGTAAACAAGTACATGTCAGGACTTAAAGAAGAACTAGACCCATTCACATATTTGAATGTTTACTTCTACCATTTTGAAAAGTCTTCATTCAGCAAAGTTTGGAACATCGAACCAGTTAAGTTTGCTATTGTGACTAAAAATGGTGCGAAATTTGAAGACTTAGACATAGAAGGTTTGTTAACAGTCAAAGAAAGTTTTGACAGAAGGTTCTCAAACCTTAAAGAAGGCAAAGCATACAAACTTGTTATACCTTATGAACCAAAGAAGACAGACGACTATGAATATTATGAGTCTAAAGTTGTAGAAGTTCAAGGTAAATTGGGTAAAAAGATTTTAGAGTCTAAGCCAGTGTTTACTCCTAAAGAGGAAGAGAACATTGACATTGACCCAGAAATGTTCTAAAAATAAAATTTTATTTTTACATGTCAAATTTCTTTTTCTCTGGAACTGGTTCAGGTTCTTTCTTCTCTTCTACTTTTTTCTCTTTCTTTTCTTTCTTCTTCTTCTCTGGTGAGTTATGTCAAATTTCTCAGAACCATATTTCTGTAAAAGTTCTTTGTCCTTTAATAGCTCATCTATTCTGTTTTCTATTTCATCTTCAAGAACACGCATGTGTCTTCTTTGCATTCTAAGAACTTTTGTTGGACTTCATCTTTCCAATCGGCGTCATCTCTGTCAACAAGTCTGTCATTGACAAATTTTAAGACTGCTCTTTGTAATGTTTTATGGTTCTTGTCATATTCCCAGAAACAGAACTTTAGAACAAATTCACCTTTCTTGTTTACACTATGTAAGATTTTATGGTCGACAGATGTTTTGCTGTCAAAAAGTTTGTCTCGAATATAGATAGCGAAATCGCTAGACATTTTCTAAAAGATAAAAATTTTAATTTTTCTAAAAATATGTTAGAAAAAAAGTTTGCTGACATTGACAAAAATTTGAGAATGTTTTAAAAGAACAAGAGGAAGTTAGAAAATGCTCAGATAAAGCCTATACATGAAAAGTTCTTATTTGCTCAGAATGGTATAACAGGTCTAATTGCACCACCTGGGTCGGGTAAGACTTTCACTTATCTTAAAATGGCTGCACAACAACAAGAACTAGATGAGAAGAACCCATTCTATGAGTTAGTTGTTATTTGTTCGACTTCTGGTCAATTTGACCAAACCGTCAATTCGTTCAAAGATATTATAAAGAAGTCTAAGTTAGTATGTATAAAGGATACTGAGTTGTTAGATTGGATAAAGAAGTACCAAAGAAGAGTTTTGAAGTATAATGCTATAAATGAGTATATAAATTCTAAGTTTAAAGACCCTAATGAGGAAATGCAGAGAATATTAGAGAAGAAACACTTCAGAAACAAACAGAAAGAGATAGAATACATTTCGAAGAAATTGCAATCTTACGATTGGAAGACTTACCCTCATAGATGTCTTCTTATCTTAGATGATTTCGCCTCTCATCCTTTGTTAAAGAACAGAGAACAAGATATGTGTCGAATTCTTAAGAAGCTCAGACACTTTAACATCTCAGTTGTCATTTGTGTACAGACAGCAAAGAGTTTAAGTAAGGATGTTAAAAGAATACTTACTGACATAATACTTTTCCCCGGATTGTCCGAAGACGATTTCATGGAACTTATGAAAGAGTCCATGGCAGGTAAGTTTGACAGACATGAACTATGGGAGAAGTATAAAGTCATACAAGACCCTCATACTTCTTTCAGAATTCATATCTACGCAAACAAAGTTCAAATTGTAAAAAGTCAAGCTTGAAAAATCTAAGTGTTTAGTCTTAGTAAGATGGTAGCTTCTTAAAGCAAATACCATTGCTGAGTTTTATGTACGTGAAGAGAAGTACAATGAATTCAATTACGAGTACAATTGCAATGACAACTAAGGCAACTATTTTTGTCTTTTGCCAGCAAGGGTACTTCTTCTCTTCCAATGGTTCGGCAAAACTATACTCACTCATGAGAAATGCCAAAACGGTTTAATAGAAAAAGTGTCATTTTTTTCATGTCCGAAGACTCGAAGGTGCAACACTTCCAAAATACCGACGAACTCAGAAGAGCAGCATGGCAGTATCTTCTTGACAACTTCTTTGAGTTCTCCAGGTACACCTTGGAAAATGCTGAAGAACTCCGACACAGAGAATTTGGAGAAATTGCACTCCAATACTACCTTGACAAACAAACGGTAAATTAAGACTAAAAACTTAACGTTTAAAAAGTGACATTTTTATGAGCTCCGAGTCACCGAGAAAACTTGGTCAGATGTTAGCAGCTTACTTCCCTGAGGAGGATGGAAGCGTTACATACATCAGGTTCAAAAACAACGAACCTGGAATTGCGTACCAAATTCGCAATTACATGACCATGGAAGAGTACGAAAGGTTTCTACAAGAGAAACCAGCTCTAAACAACTCAGAAAAGAAAGAGTAAAAAGTTTAATTCGTAATTGTTTATTTTTTTACTTGTATGGGCAAGCTGCAAGAATGAAGTCGACTATCTCAGTCTTTGTCTTGACCAGTTGGACTGCTCTTGTAAGCACGTTTGTTTTGCGGTCTCCAGCTAGTGTCTGACCTTCGTAATTGCGCATGTTCTTGAGAGCTCCAACTGTAAATGGTTGTAGGATGAAGAGTCTCTCAGACTGCTTGAGGTAGTCTTCACGGTCACGAACCGAATCTGTGGTACGAGTCGAATCGGTCGATTTGAGGGAAGAGAGTGAGAGCCTGTCTTCTTCCATTGGGGCAGTAGCATACTCTTTGCGTAAGCGGTTCAGACCTTCCTCGAACTCTTGGTCTCTTTTGGATTGAGATTGGAGTTGTGGGGCAGGGTTTTGCATAAACATCCAAGGGTTGGAGCAGTAAGGCATAGGCTGAGGAGGGTAGTTCGGGAAGCCTTGTGGTGGGTAGTAACCTTGAGGTGGAAATTGGTAGTAATTCGGAGGTCCTTGTTGGAACTGAGGTGCAGGGGCTGGTGCTTTAGGTTCCTCTGGTTTGGGAATGGACTCGGTTGGTGGTACGTCGGACATTGTCTTGAAACAGTACAAATATTGTTCTGAAGCAGTGGAAGTCTTGTTCTGAAAAAGTACAAGTATTGTTCTGAAGCAGTGCAAGTATTGTTCTGAAGCAGTGCAAGTATTGTTCTGAAAAAGTACAAGTATTGTTCTGAAACAGAAAATTTTTCTCACAAATTGAGAGCTTTTACGGGAAATTTGTTCTGAAAAAGTTCAAGTCTTGTTCTGAAAAAGTACAAGTATTGTTCTGAAAAAGTACAAGACTAGTTCTGAAACAGTACAAGTATTGTTCTGAAAAAGTACAAGACTAGTTCTGAAACAGAACAATTGACAACATCGAGCCATTAGATGAGGCAATTTACCTTATAGAGATAAATGAAGTTGTTAAGCAGTACTTTGGCAAGGACAAAGCCAACAAGTCCCTCGGCTTCTGGTTGTCTGGAAGAGGTGCGCTGAAAATCGAAATTGAAACCGGAATTGTCCTACAAATACCAGAAAACACTCCTGTAGACGACATAAAGGAGATGAAGAAAGAAGCTCTTCTCAAGTTCTTTGCAAAGCGCCCATGGATACAACTTCCAAACAGAGAGATTCCAATTCCACGAATTATACAAATTCTCAGAGCACTGTTCCACTTCTCAGGACGGCCGTTCTTCATAACCTCAGAAGGCGACATCCAACCAATTCAGTAAACCTTAACGTTTAACTTCACTTTTTTTATGTTTTTACTCACACTCGTATTCACCTGGTATGAGTACAATTGTTTCAACTGTGAACCTTATGTAGAAGGAATGGATTGCGACTATCGCTTCGGTCGATGGATAATACATGCTGGTTTTACAGACACTGGAAACTGTACTTCTGACAGATGTTGTTGCGACTGTCAGATAACTGAAATTACAGACCCACCTCCCCCAAGAACTCCAACACCAACACTCAAGTTACCAGAGTCTCATGTGAAGAAGAAGCCTTCTGGTAAGTTTCTTATAGCCATCTATATGGCACGTTTAGAGTAAAAACATTTTTTTCATTTTTTGAATGAAGCAAGTTAAATTCGTCCCACACCAAACTCAATGGACCGATGAAGAGTTTCAAGCTATGGTTGAAGGTGTTGAGAACGACATAGACGGCGAACTTGAAGGAGCTCAAACCACAATTGCAACCAAAATTGCACAAGTCAAAGAAGAGATAGCTCCACTTAAAGCTACCAAAGCTACTCTTGACCTCATGGATACTTACCGTTTAGATGTCAAGAGAGGAATAAGACAATTAAAATTAAAACTCTTAAATTACGAAGCTATACTCCAGAAGTTAGCAGAAATGAGAAGACTTTACCAGAGCTACTTACATGTAAGGGACTTACCTTCAAGCAGTCCGACCAAAGATGAATTTTCTGACATTGTCCCAATTTTGTCCGAAAGTCAGCTCAGATGTTTTGAACTGCTCCCAACATATCCAGAATATGAACGTTTGCCTGAACTCTTCCGCAATCTCAAAAAACGTTTTTTGGTTCTCATGTTCGAAACTTTTATCGGAAGAGACAACAAACGTTCAGAAGAAGAACAAGATATTATTTTAAACTTGTTGTATGACTAACTGTCATAACAAGCTTTTTGAAGTAAAACCGCATTCTCAAACCACTTCATTTTTTCGATGTCCGAACAAGCACCGAAGCCGAACACAATGGCAGATGTCCTTTCAAGGTTGCCAGACAAGCGCCCAATTCAAATTCAAATTGCCCAATTGAAAGCTCATCTGACAAACACCATTAAGACTCTCCAAAGTAGTCTTATGACAGAGATGACCAATCTCAAAGCCGATGTCCTCATGAACCAAGCTTCCAATGAGAAATGCCTGAACGATTTCTCAGAATCGTTGCGCAATTACGAGAGAGAGAACCGAGACCTTGCCAGACTCATCTACCGTTTCTTCGAAGAGATAGACGCCATCTGGAAGGTACTCGGAAAGGACAGAACATGCAACACCGTACTTCGTGAGTACCAAATTGAAGAAGGAATTGTCGAGGAAGAAGAAGAAGAGAAGAAGAGAAACACGAAGAAGTTCCTGAAGCCGCTACATGGGCAACCCTTGTTGCCGATGACGGTTACGAAATTTCCCAACCCTACCCATACCAAATCCGCAACAAGGAGACAGGCAAGGTTCTTACCCCAGTCCTCAACAACTTGGGACACTTGAACCTTAACCTTCGGAATCGCGGTTCAATCTCCATGGGCAAGCTTGTCGCAATTCAATGGGTTCCAAATCCAGACAAGAAGACGAAGGTCAGACACATTGACGGTGACAAGCTCAACAACCGTAAGGAGAACCTCGAGTGGTTCTAAGAGTAAAAAAATTTATTTTAGGGGGAAAACCCAAGTAAATTTAAGTTTTTATTTTTGGTATTCGTACCAATCTTGGAATGTGAAGACCACATCCCAACCTCTGTACGTGAGTCTTGGGTCCACGTCTAAGACCCTTCTGTAGCAATTCCAAGCCCGAGCAAATTCAATTGTCAACCACTCGTCTCCTCTGTAGTCTTCAATCCATTCTTTGAAGAGACGGTCGAGTTCGGGCTTGGAATATCTCTTGCCTGGGTCCGAGACCAACATTTGGTTGAACTGGACGAAGCGCTCAGGGATGTACGCCATTAAAAAAATGTCACTTTTTAAAAAATAAATTTTTTATTTCATGCAATGTTTAACTATTTCACCATCTTCTTTAACACCCCAGTACTTACGCTTGGAGAGGACATGAACTTCGGTGAAAATTTTGTCCAATTTGAATTGACCCATCTTTTCACCGACCATTCCCATTTCAATGAGTTTGTTGTATCCTTCTTCGTTCGTCATGAGTGCGTCAATGTTCTCATAGTAAACCTTGACTTTGGATTTGACTTCGGAGAAGAATTTGTTGTACTTGTCAAGGACTGCTTTGCGAACTGAGGGTAAGACCAATGTTCGACAATAGGTTTTAATGTGGTTACTAAGCCACTTTGACCTTGAGTGAATTCGTACTTCAAAACAAAAGGAGAAAACCTTTCAACAAAGTTGTCGACCTTCTCATAATGTTTACTCTTCATCTCTTGAGGTTTCTTAATGGAATATCCCCATGTCGAATTCATAAGCAATTTGAGTGTCATTGCAAGTTTGGGGTTTGAAGCTTTCCTAATATCATACAGTTGTTGTATGACTTTTCCAACTGTATAGTTCCTTCCCGGGAACTCACCATCTTCGTTTGGAATTCCAGTCGGAATATATTGGACAAACCTCATGTATGCAGCGTTAAGGTCGACATAGTATATCTTTTCATCTGAGTCGAACTTGTCGCAACCAATTGGTCCAGTTTGTGGAAATTCAAGTGAGTCTCTTATCTTCTGAGAAACTTCTCCTTTATCTCATAAACATCGTCGAAGCAACCTGTTTCATATAAAACCTTTCTGACCTAACTCAGATGCTCTCCAATACAATTTGACATCAATTGGATGTCTCAATGGAAGTTTGTTTATAGCATCTTGAAGTTCTTGCAACCTCATTGGAAGTTCTTCTGGTTCAGGTTGGTATCCGAACATACCAACCCCTTGTGGAACTGTGTACTTCTTTTGTACTAGAACTTTGTCTGGAACAACTTTTGGTCTTGCTAACAATGAAAAGTTTGTTTCGTCTTTTGGTACAAAAGTTTCTGTCAGCTTGTCATCTGGAATTGGTTCCAACAAACCTTTCTCGAAAAGAATGTTTACAGCTCTGACAATGTTGCACTTACTTTTACCAAAGAATGGGTTTGTAAGACTTTCGTTCAACATGAAGTGGTGTGGACAATTACAATCTTCAACCATGGTAAGTCTTTGTCAACAACATAGTCGTCATGTGAAGAACCTTTAGCTGTAGGTATGTTGACTCGGATATTGACATTTGCCAACGTGCAATTTTTGCCAATTGACCTCTGAGAATGTACCTTGTCTTCACACATGACTCAAGATACTTCATCTTCTCATCTGTAACAAGACCAGAGTTCCTGAGACATGTAAGAATACAAGGTTCATTGACAATTGTTTCAATTGAATTGTAAATTCCATACCTTGTCAAGTCAATGTCAGACTTATTTATGAACGGGAAGTATCCAGCATGTTGTCTGACTGCTTGAGGTTAGGTTGGTACCATTCGAACTTGACACTTGCAATTCCTTCAATTGCATTCAAAATGTCTGAGTCGGAGTCAACCATTTGTTCTCTCTTTGTAGTCTTGAAAGCGTCAAGAAGTTTTGCGGCTGTTTGTTCATTGCCATGTGCATAGTAAATGTGACCATCCAAATCTGTTATGGTCAATCTGAGATTGTGTCCTTTCTTATTTCCGTCTTGAATTGCAGCAAGTACTCCCATGAAGCCTTCTTTGTTCTTTCCTTCGTCAAAGTTTACTGTAAAGGTTCGACCAGATGTAATTTGACTTCTAACTTCACGATACTTTTCATATGCATATCTTGTTCTTTCCATGGGAGCATGTGCGTCTTCACCTTTTCCTTTTTCCTTCTCAAAGGATGCAATTGTTCGTCATGTTTCCAGTAGAATCTGGCAAAGCCGTCGTGTCCTTCAACTTGAGGTTCACTAACATCGAAAGGCATGTCCATAAGACGTTCTTCTTCTAACCTCTCTAGTCTGTTTGGATAACTGGCACGTGCTGTTTCCAAATCCATTTCGTAGCGAAGACCAGACAATTTGTCATAGACTTTTATGGGTCTTCCCTTCTTATATTTAAAATTCTTCGAAACTCTCCAACCATATCTTTGTAACTCTGCTTTTATTCTAGCAGACTTTCTATCCATTCTATATGGGGGCATTTTTATAAAAATAAAAAATATTTTTTTCTTTACTTTACATAACCGCCTGCTGCTATCAGTCTTTGACGCCAACCCATACCAGCTAATGAAGGTTGACTTGGTTTAGTTTGGAAACTAAACTTTGGTTTTGGTTTATCTTCAGTTTTTGGTTTTTCTTCTTCTATCGGGTTTTCGTCACTTTTCGG